GCATGACTTTATATCAGAAATTGATTATGAAACATGAAGGAGGTCAAATATGAAGTGCGTTGGATATGTACAGCACAAGGATGGCAATGTCTTCAAATATGTTTGTTACGTTAATATGTGTTCACGAAATGTTGCGAGATGTTCTTAACGATGGTTTTCGATACAGGGATATCGCTATTCCTGGAAAATGGAACCATAATGTCGTTCCACAGCTTAGGGCCAAGGCAATGCTGTAAATAGTCTATAATTACGATAAGAGAAGGTTGTTCTAAATGTTTTGCTCGCCTCATATCCATGTCATTGGATTCGTAGAGATTGTAAATTAAATCGAATGATGCAGGGAGCTGTGAAGTTAAAAATTGTGCATCACAATTAACATTTGAGATTTAGCAATATCCGATAGTTTCAAAATTTTGTATCGTTTAAAGATTGGCTCTGAGCTTTGCGGAGGATACACATTTTCTATAAGACGCACAGCCCTTTTTTGCAAAATTACCAATCGATCTAGTTGAGAAGCATAATTTATGCCCCAAACCAAGCAGCAGTAATTTAGGTAAGGAAGAATCAAAGTTAGGTAAGGAAGAATCAAAACGTGCACACAGAGGCCACCAGGAGCCTGGCTGCTCCCAACCACGGCTGCCGTCGATGTCGATACACGTGCACACAGAGGCCACCAGGCACCTGGCTGCTCCCAAACCACGGCTGCCGTCGATGTCGATACACGCACACAGAGGCCACAGGCGCCTGGCTGCTCCCAAACCACGGCTGCCGTCGATGTCGACACACGTGCACACAAGGCCACCAGGCCTGCGCCCCAAACCAGCATCAGTTCTGCACCCGGTGGCATACTTGAGGCTGCATTTCCACTGCCAAGTCTGACGTAAGGAATGCCTCGCGTCATTATTCGGCAAGCGATTGTAGCGGAACAACGTGGTTGGAAATAGACATGTAGACAGATGATAGACATGCATAGATATGATAAATACATCTAGTAGGTGGTAAATAGACCATAACATAGACATAAAACGGCATGTCAGTGATGCGGTGCACAGCCACGTGTGTCAGTGATGCGGTATGCGCACCGTAACACGGACGCGTTCGTGAAGACGTAACGCCTTCTGAGTACGGGTCGCCACGGCAGGCAGCAAGCTCTCCCACCTGAAGTTGACTTCCAGCAAGCCCTGGCCGTCCAGCTTGTCCTTGATGCGTCCCTGGATGGCTAGCGACTCGTTGTAGCCCCACCAGTTGTGGCGGGCGTCCAGTGGGGTGCGCCACACCTCATACCTGCCGCGCCGCGAAACAACGCCTGAGCACGCCGGGTCGCTCTGCGAACCGGGGCTGCCCGGCCACCCCGCTCGTCACGCCCGCCCCAGCTGGGGTCCGATGATGTGACATAACCCCGTGCAAGCTGAACAGTGAGGCAACCCCGACTTTCACAGAAAATGGGTGGCGTGGCTGGCAAACACTGCGCCAGCGCCACCGGAGACATGTCGGGCAGCTGCGGCTTCCGCGGTTACGATCAATCGGGAAATCCAGCTCCGGCCTCCGCGGATACGATCAATCGAGAAATCCAGCAGTCAGCAGCACCGCAGAGCACTACAGCAGTACCGCTGACCGCGAACAGGCACCATCCCGGCAGAGTGGTGGCGCTTTCCATGACGGTCATCGCAATAGCAGCCGACGAACATGCCGGTCCTCCGACCTTAAGAGGGTGCCAGGACATCAGGGGCGAACGAGCGCGCAGCAAAACACCAGTGCAAAGAGAGAAACTCACCTATAGTTCGAAATTTTAAGATCTTGCCTGCGAACAGAAGAAGATGTTTCAGTAAGCCACGTGCGCGTGCCATGATATGCGGCGTGCTCTCTCAGAACCCAGCAAGCGAGACCAATTTGGTGTACCCGGCGCTTTCACGCCCCCAAAAGTCGCACCACCATCATCCGCACCCCTGTGCACGCACGCACGCACTCACGAACATAGCTAGGTGTGCTTGTGCATGGAGCAAAGGCTGTGTGCGTGTGTATCTGGTGGCAGACTGACAGATTGTGCAACAACTCAGTGCATAGCAGGGCTCTTCATGGATTTGATTTCCAGGATCAATTGGAACTTAGTCTATCAGTTCTAAACCCAATCCACGCAGATCCAACCCGTCCAGTCTGTCAGAGCAGCAACAGAAATACAGCCCCACACCGCGGGAATCAGCCCCACACCGTGGGAATCACAGCCTCACACCGTGGGAATCCTGCATGTTTCAGCCCAGCTGAACACGCAACGCCCAATTAAGTGCACATATTTTATGGATTCATATCCCCAATAGAAAACTTCCTCCACACCCTTCACGACGTCCCAATCCGTTTGAACAAATTCCAAGCCCTTACGGCAGATTCAAACTCATTCTCGGCCCAATTTTAGTTAGTCCCGAAAGCATGGCTTTCGCAGTTATTAAAGGGCTCTTGTACATGCAGATAGCTGACAAACGTCCCACTGAAGGTTACTTCATATGCCAAGACGTGGACAAATCATGAAAACTACACTCGTTCTTGCATTTTTGAATTTGGCACCCTCCCTGCCACTTGATACATCAGCTTTTGCAGCATTGATTGTGCATTATTTCCAATTTGTTATCATTAACGATACCAAAACCGTTCAGAATGCAGTCAGAGCCATCGTTCCCTGCCACGCAATCTTGCCTTTCCTGTCCTTGCAATGTTTGTGCATTTGACACGACAAACGTGGTCTGCAATGGGCTAAGAGCTATCATATCGGCAAACACAAACACTCATTGGTTCAGCACCTAAACTGACGTCGGAACATCATGGAACACACTGACCATCCATCTTCTACATCTCTCTATGACAATTATGCATGGCCTTCAAGGCGTGACCGATGGTTGTTCACCATCCATTAGATAACATGAAACTCGTTTTGATAAAAAATTGGCGTTAGACAGAACCTAGCTGTGGATGTGAACAGACATTGTTTTGTCTAGATGTCGAGCCACAGCCACACGACGGCAATGCCAGGCGCTATCATATTCAAAGCGATGTTAAGTTAAGTCAATGATAAGGAAGGCCTCAAAATTTCCGCGCTCTTACTGAAACGCTTCGGCGATGATCGCAAAGAAAAACGTGACACGCGAATCACGTAAATAGACGAAACGTACCATGAGAAAACATCAAGCCAAAGGGAACGCTGCTATATTTTGGATCACAATCCGAAAACAGAAATACAATGTTTTCCAATTTTTATGCGAAGTAGAGTAGCGCTCCCTTGACATATTTTGGTCCTTGTATGGAATGCGCGGTCATTCAACGTGTTTTGTGTATGATTAGCTGAGAACTGACTCAAAGAGGCTAAAACTAATGGTTTTCGGGAAAGGTGGGGAAAATGCAGCGGGGTTTCATGTACTGGCCGGGTTGGCCCGTATATGAAGAGAGGCTTGACGGTGAAATGGGCTTTGACTCCCAAATCACACCAGTGCTCCCTCCAACACATCCCTATGGTATTCACGAAAACATAACGGCAAGCACGTCACAGTGAGCCTCGCCCCGCCCTGCCCCCGTGTGGACGCATGCCCACTCACTGCGTGCGGTTGATGGTGACCAGTTCGTAGTTGTTGTGCGGGTTGACCAGCACGTTGTCGACATACTGCTGGCCGGCGCTGCCCGCCAGGGATGGTGGTGCGCTCCTCCGGATCCGTGGCGTGATTCCTGCGCCGGCCGGCGGAGGTCCATAGTCAGCGGTCGCCGACGGCACGGCGCCCCCAGTCACAGCGGCCAAGCGACGCTTTCAATAAGTGCGTTGCTTCATCGCATCCTTATTGTGTCCTACCACCACCAGTTTTAAGCCCCAGTCCCCCTCTTTCGCCATCTGATCTGTGTCCTATCCAGACGCCACCACGTCCGAACCCTCATCCCGTCTCTTCGCCATCTAATCGGTCACCAGATGCACCACACCGAACGACTGGCCCCAGCCACAGTCGCAGTGCAGTGAGTAAATCTGGAAGTGGAATGCAAATGTAATCGAACTTGAAATATACACCTTTTTGCATGCGTGACGCAAGCGGTTGTCTCGAACAGCACTACGACGCTCCCAGGCCACAAATGACTGGAAGTTTCGCTTACCACAAGAAGCCGTTGTGCGCGAAGTTCTGGTAGATGGGCAAGTGGACACGCTCGAAGCCGGATACCTTCATGATGTGGAAGCCGTGATTGTTGTGCACCAGATTGTAGCTGAAGTTGGCGACCACCTGCGATATCATAACAAGGACAAGTCATACAAAATAAATACACTTAGGAGTCATCGCCTCAAGGGAATGAAGCAGTGAAAAATGATGTCGGCTACATCGTTGAAGACAGCAGCATGCTCCCCTGATTCACACCAAATATTTATTTTAACCAGATGTTCCATCCATGCGCTTCACCTCTCTCCACAGTTTTAGTCTGGGCATGGGTTCTGTGGCGGTTATGTACAGTCACTTGGCATATATATATATATATATATATATATATATATATATATATATATATGTATATATATATATATATATATATATATATATATATATATATATATATATATATGGGGGGTGTACAGTTGCGTGCGTGAGTACGTGAGTGCGTGCGTGCGTGCGTGTGCGTGTGTATTTATGTTTGGTTGTCGCCACCAAAGCAATAGCAACCAGCAGATGCATCACAAAAGTAACATTTTAGGTTGATCAGCACACAATGGAGAATACGACAAAAAAAAACAACAGTAAAGTAGACCTGCAGAGACAGCCAGCTTTCTCATTTCCACCACTCATACATCGCTGTTTCAGATATCCTACCTGGGCGAATTCCAGCACGTTTTGATATGTGCAGTTGGCGCGGGTGAAGTAGTTGTAGTAGAGGATGGCCTCCTGGTACGGTGATGTCTTGCGCCCCTCCACATAGAGCGTGGACCAGCCGTCGTTGTCGCTGAACAGGTTGAGGTAGATGTAGGCCTTGAGCGCCGTGGCCAGGCCGCTGGAGTCGGCGCGGATCCGCAGGCCACCCTGGTTGTGCTGCAGCACGTTGTTCTGCCGACAACCATCACGACCGTGGAATCGCGTGGAAACGAGCGTCTAGTTTCACCAAATGTTTGTCTCTCCTCTCGCGTCAACCCGCATCACCAGCATAGGCGGACAGGAGCCCTCTTGACTGCAGGTAGTACAAATATGTGCTCAACAGCGATGATGTGCCCAGAGACAGCCCATTCCGTGCGAGAAGCCATTCGAACTTGAATGCACCAGCTTCGCCGCCACCCTGCCTTCAGCCCCGCCTGACAACCCACCCGATCCGTCTCCGTCCGCCCGGGCCGCCCTGTTAGCGGCACCCACCGTGAAGTAGAGGTGCTGCGTGTTCTGCACGTCCACGTTGACGGCGGCGCGACTGGAGGTGAAGTTGCCGTAGAGGCGACGGCCGTTGCGCAGCAGCCGGTTCCACTCGAGAGTCAGCGTCGGGTTGATCTCGCCGGCGTTCATGTAGGAGATGCCGCCGCCCTCGTTGTCGGATATCTCCGAGTAGGAGACGTTGTGACGCACGTCCCGACCTGGCGACAGACACGAAAAAAACTTAAAACTTATGAACCTTAGGAAACTTACTTACGGCACATGTTGTGCTATGCTCAGTTGAGGACACGGCTGGGGCACACTTCAACGCTCAGGATAGAAACAAACATGACAGTACCTTCGGTCCCAGGAGCCTGGATGCACAACAACAGACCCGTGTGAGAAACACCAACTCCGACCAGATTTCAAAAGTAGAGTTGGTTCACGCCGTTATTGGAAGGACGCAGCCGCGGTAGAGCAAGAACATGCGGCGCCACTCACTAAAGCCAATCGAGGAGACGGGCAGCGTGACGACCTCGGCGATGAAGCCGTGCCTGCTGCCGGCGCCGCTGGCGTGCAGCTGCACGCTCAGCGACGTCTCGTTGGTGGTGTGGAAGACGGTGGTGGTCGCGGCGTCGGCCGTCAGCTCCGCCAGTCGCCGGGACGTCACGTTGTAGATGTCGCCGTCGTACAGTCGGAGGAAGTCGGGAGTCAGCAGCGGCTCGTCGGTCGAGTTCACCAGGTTAAACTGCAGCAGCCTGCGGCAAAGGTGCTGGTTAGGGCGCAGCTACAGGCATGATGGTCACAGTAAAGCCGAGGGGTCACAGGCACAGGCGAGAGGGCCACAGCTGCAGGCGAGAGGGTCACAGCTACGGGCATGAGGGTCACAACTACGGGGCGAAAAGGTCATAGCTAAAAGCGAGAGGGTCATAGCTACAGGCGTGAAGGCAGTAGTGCGACCAGAGCAAGGGTGCGTGAGCCAAACTACCAGCATCAGGCACGCAGGGCAGGCCAACACGTCTAGGCGTCTTTATCGAGATGTGCGGTGTGATACTCTGGAAAGCTGAAGCGTATTAACGGTAAAGACCAGCACGGCGTATGTCAAAAAATGTAAATGCCAGATCACGGCAGGACCGGCCATCATCAAGGCCAAACATGACTGTGCTGCAGACAAGAGAATTCTTAGTGTCCAGACTGCGACAGAACACCGACGGCTGACTAGATAAGCTGTTACGGACTACATCTCAGACAGAGGCTGGGTGACATAGACCGGCCACTTGCCTAAATCCAAAGGTTTTGATGCGGGCGGCCGATGTGAAAATCTTGACGCAGTCCACTGGTCTGTTGTCGTACTTGTAGTAGACCAGGATCCTCTCCTGCACTTGGATCTCCTTGTGCGCATCGCACATGTCCACCATGCCTGTGGGACGGGCGTCAGGGGCGTCAACACTCAGCGGCGCAGCAGCTCGCTGGGCAAGCAAAGTGAAGCGAGAAACGACTACGGCCGACCGCACCAGCAGGCCTGTGCTTCAAACGGCGCTCACGTCAGCCGCCTGTCCAATCAGAACACCCTCAAACGGCACTCACACCAGCCGCCTGGCCAATCAGAATGACTTCAAACAGCGCTACACCAGCCACCTGTCCGGTCAGAACGCCCTCAAACGGTGCTAACACCAGCCACCTGTCCCATCAGAACGCCTTCAAACGGCGCTCACACCATTCGACAGCCCAATCACGCATTAAACGCCGCTCACATCACCTGCCTGTTCAGTCAGAGCACCTTGAAACGGACAAGTTGAGGAAGATTAACGGGACGTAAATTTCAGCACCCTCGCACTGGCTTACCACTCTAAACAGTCCAAACAGTAAAGGAACTCATTTGCTCACCAAATAGGTTGTAGGGCAGGGCAACCTGCTGGATGGGGACGAACGAGCTGCGGCCCGAGCTGCGCGCCTCGCCCGTCAGCATGATGGTGTTCATGCCGATCCCCAGGTTGTGGTGCACCCTGACAATGTGTGGCAGTGTCATCAAGGCGGCACGGCGCCCGAGCCAGACACAGGCAGGTCAGGCCATGAGAGAGCGGCCTACTCGTGGGAAGGAGATAAGTCATAATAGTACCTGCAACCCAAGAACCGGCATCAACAAGCGATGCAAACTTGACAACAGGCGTTGAGCTGTCGTAGTTATTTTACCACCTGAGCTGACAGAAACGAATACAACATCAGCGACGGCTTCTCGGCTCAAAACAAGTTATTCTCAAGCCTCGGCGCTCGGCTCCCGGCCTAGGATGGCGCGTGAGAATGCCGTTTTGCCGCCTGTCCGATACGGCGGTGACGGGCAGCGCGGTCGGCCGCGGTAGGCCGTGGTCACGAGGCGCCGGGCTCACCAGAGGTGCATGAAGTCCAGTGAGTGTGTGGGGTTGACCACGGTGACGCCGTCGCTCAGGCTATTTCGGACGGTGACGGCGCGTACGTCAGGAGACATGAACACGCTGAGCACGGCCGGCGACTTCTCGCCGTGCAGCCAGCCGGCGCCGACCACGTCCACGAAGTGCAGCTGAGACTGGCGGGTGCGGCGGCGGCCGTGCGTCTCCACATCGTGCAGCCGCTCGAAGAACGACTGCACCTCGAAGCTGGGCGTGGCGAAGCGCACCCCGCCCCAGGCCTGCGTCGTGTCGTTAACGTTGCTGTCGCCGCACTCGATGAAGACGTAGCGGTCGCGCCAGTGGCAGCGCGGCACGGCGTGCAGCGGCCGGCCGGTCATGCGCAGTCGACAAGCGCTCAGCTCGGCCTCGGTGCCGGCGCACTCGAGCGGCTCCGGCCAGGCAGTGACCAGGCTCACAGAGCTGGCGTGGAACTCGGCCCGCCGGCCGTGGCGCAGATGCACGTTCAACCGTGGGCCGTCCCAGCTGGCGGCAGACCACCTCGGCGTTGCGGTCCGAGAAGCGCCGGTCGCACACGGGCACCCACTGCACCGTGGTGGCGTTGAAGAGCTCGAGGAAGCCGGCGTGGCCGCCGCAGCGGCCGGCGGCGCACAGACGCAGCCGCGTCGGCCGCTCGTCGTGTCCCCAGAGCTGGCGCTGCGCCAGGGCGCGACCCACGCGGTAGTGCACCTCCTGGCGCGACAGCGGGCGCAGCGTGACGCGCCGCTTCTCGTCGCCGACGGCCAGCAGCGTGCCGAGCACGAGCAGGCCGACCGACGGGTAAAACTCGAGCGTGACGCCCGGCTCCAGACGCAGCGTGGCGCCCGGCAGCACGGTGATGTCGGACCGCACCACGTACGGCTGCGGCCGCCACCTGCGGCAGAGCACGGCCAGGCTCAGCGGCGGCGCGGCCACCGCACACAGTCCAACACACGGCCACCGCACACAGTCCAACACACGGCCACCGCACACAGTCCAACACACGGTCGCCGGACACGGTCCAACACACGGACGCCGGACACAGTCCAGCACACGGCAATCGCATACAGTCCAACACGCTGGCACCGCACACAGTTCAACACGCGGCCACCGCACACTGTCCAACACACGGCTACCCTACACAGTCCAACACACAGCCACCGCGCACAGTCCAACACACGGCCACCGCACACAGTCCAACACACGGCCACCGCACCCTTTCCAACAAACGGCTACCCTGCACAGTCCAACACACGGCCACCCTACACAGTCCAACACACGGCCACCCTGCACAGTCCAACACACGGCCACCCTACACAGTCCAACACACAGCCACCGCGCACAGTCCAACACACGGCCACCGCACACAGTCCAACAAACGGCTACCCTGCACAGTCCAACACACGGCCACCAGGCACAGTCCAACACACGGCCACCAGGCACAGTCCAACACACGGGCCACCCTACACAGTCCAACACACAGCCACCGCGCACAGTCCAACACACGGCCACCGCACACAGTCCAACAAACGGCTACCCTGCACAGTCCAACACACGGCCACCAGGCACAGTCCAACACACGGCCACCAGGCACAGTCCAACACACGGCCACCCTACACAGTCCAACACACGGCCACCCTACACAGTCCAACACACGGCCACCCTACACAGTCCAACAAACGGCCACCGCACACAGTCCAACACACGGCCACCGCACACAGTCCAACAAACGGCTACCCTACACAGTCAACACACGGCCACCGGACACAGTCCAACACACGGCCACCGCACACAGCCCAACACATGACCACCGCACACAGTCCAGCACACAGTCACCCGACACAGTGCAGCACACGGCTACTCCGCACAGTCCAACACATGGCCACCCTACACAGTCCAACACACGGCCACCGGACACAGTCCAACACATGACCACCGCACAGACCAACACACAGTCACCCGACACAGTGCAGCACACGGCTACTGGGTGGCGCACACAGTCCAATACACGACTGCCGCACACAGTCCAATACACGACCGCAGCACACAGTCCAACACACGACTGCCGCACACAGTCCAAAACGTGCGTCACAAATGGGACAGCCGCCAAAGGATCGGAAACCCATGCTGCAACATCGCACTGCCATGGTCAAACATATTTCTATAGTCATGATATAAAATTATTTTACAGTTAGCGGTCACCAGAGATGTTGTAATATTACCAGTGCCAGGAGTGTCTGGCTCCTCTGGCGGGTGGAGGTACGCAGCAGTCGGGTGGTAGCCCGAGCCACAGGCCGGTGCCGGACGGCCAGCGCACTACACTCACCTGAGGGTCAGGTTACGCCGTATCCGGCCGCCCAGGTTGTCTGGGTCCGGCTGCGGCTCGCGCTCCAGCTCGCTCTCCTCCGGCCCCGCCAGCGCGTCGGACGTCAGGAACGGACTGAACTGGGCGATGGCGTAGCTGTTCCAGTCGTCGAAGTCGAAGATGCGCTCCCGGATCTGGTGCGGGTCGCGCGTGCCCCACCAGTTGTGGCGGGCCACCAGCTCGGTTGCCAGACTGGAGGAGCGCGTGCCCGCCAGGAACTCGTAATCCATCTGGTTGCGGCCGAAAAGATTGTGCGTCACGTTAACGCGCTGCACGCCGCGCACTTCGATCACGTGGCTGGCCGGGAGGGACGGCGCCGCGGCCGTCAGCGGCTGCTCGTTGAAGCGCACCTCGTTGCGCGTGAGGCTGGCGCTGACGTGGCCCTGGATCTCCGACTGGCTGTCGATGTCCACCTGCACCATGAACCGGCCCGTGTTGCGCCGCATGGTGTTGCCCGCGATCAGCAGCTCCTTCTCCATGCCACGCACCGACAGCAGGCCCGCGTCCCGGCCACACACGTTGTCCGAGAACGTGTTGCGCAGCAGCTGCAGCCGCGCGAAGTGGCCGCCGATGACGCCCTCGAAGTCGCGATTGGCGGAAAACGTGTTGTCGGCGATGTAGACCGAGTGGGTGAAGTTCTCGTTGTACTGCCACACGAACGGCAGCGTCAGGTCCAGGCCACCACGGCGGTTGGACGTAATGGTATTGTTGTCCAGTACCCAGTGGAAGAGGTTGTTGGACAGCCAGTGATCCCTGCAGCAAAAGGAGGATGTCACCTCAGTTAGGAAATAATTTAGCACCAATGCGCACATAACACAAAAATATGCTACCATGACCGCTAACAATGCAATGTAGGCACAACAAATATTTTTTTAAAAAACTAGATAACGGTCGGCTTCTCTGAAACGAAAACAACGGAGACCCAAACACCGCCCCTCGTACACCTGACAACGTCGAGAGCCAGCACCGGACCAGGCCGACGCTGCGCGCACCTGGCGAACTGACGGACGCCGGCGCCGTTGTTGTCGATCCTGGTGCGGTTGATGACGACAGTCAGCTCGGAGATGTTGCGCGACACATCCTCTCGGTACGGCGACAGCAAGAAGACGGCTTCCTCGCGGCTGCCAGATATCTCCGAGTCGTACAGCTCGATCGACGCGTTGGCCTTGCGCAGAAACAGCTCGCCCTGATCGCCGCGGTACCTGCAGACGCCAGTATAGACGTGCCAACCGCCCCACACTGACCTGCTCAACCGGACAGGGCGACGGTAGGCATGACGACTGCAGCACGCCATCTTACCCAACGTCAGCACAGAGTACATTTGCTAGGGAAATATTGTGATGACTAGGCATCCGTTTTACTGTTAAAGAGTCAGAGCCTGCCAATGACCAGTTTTTAGGTAAACATGTAGAACGCTTAAGCATACTCTCCTGTGCAAATTGATGTCTCACTTTTGCTACAAGTTTTCTCTGCTTTGCAATAATCAGAAGGCTTTGGACTTAACATGGGCTCGTACGCCCTGTATGGCAGAAGACTGCAGAAGCCGAGCTTTCATGATTTTTGTGTTTGAGTGCATAGCCTTACAGACATGCATGAGGGCAACATTTTAGTTGTGAGGGCTTTGTATGGGACTGATGCAATCACTTTCTGCGAAAAAGTCGAAATCGTTCAGCGTTGCTGGTAGACATGTATCTTAATGTAGATGTCCTGTCCGAACAGCACGTGACTGCATCGAGCCTCGAACGGCTAGCTACGACGCCAAGCCAGACCTGTTGTAGAAGAATGTCGAGAGGCCGTGTCGGTTCTTCCTGATGAGCGAGTTGCGGACACGCAGCCTCGGCACCCTGCCCAAGGCCCGCCGCCACCTGAGCAGCGACGTCGGTCGAACCTCCCGCACGTCAGTGCCTGGCGGGCGGACGGGGGCGTGTCAGACCGCCGGCGCGCGGCGGACGGCAGTCACCCGGGCTCGGCGCCGCCGCCTGCTGGCCGGGGCTGCTGAGCCCCCCAGGGTCAGCAGTCGGGCGGACACTGAGACGGGGTGTTAGTCGGCGGCCGGGCGAGCCTCCTAGGGTCAGCAGTCGGCCGGACACTGAGACAGGGCGTCAGTCGGCGGCCGGGACTGCCGACCCCCTGAGGGCCAACAGTCGGCTGGACACTGAGACAGGGCGTCAGTCGGCGGCCGGGGCTACTGAGCCCCCTGAGGGTCAGCAGTCGCCGGACACTGAGACAGGGCGTCAGTCGGCGGCCGGGACTGCCGACCCCCGAGGGTCAGCAGTCGGCCGGACACTGAGATAGGGTGTCAGTCGGCGGCCGGGGCTGCTGAGCCCCCTGAGGGTCAGCAGTCGCCGGACACTGAGACAGGGTGTCAGTCGGCGGCCGGGCGAGCCCCCGAGGGTCAGCAGTCGGCCGGACACTAAGACAGGGCGTCAGTCGGCGGCCGGAGCTGCTGAGCCCCTGAGGGTCAGCAGTCGGCCGGACACTGAGACAGAGTGTCAGTCGGCGGCCAGGCGAGCCCCTGAGGGTCAGCAGTCGGCCGGACACTGAGACAGAGTGTCAGTCGGCGGCCGGGGCTGCCGAGCCCCTGAGGGTCAGCAGTCGGCCGGACACTGAGACAGAGTGTCAGTCGGCGGCCGGGACTGCCCACTCCCTGAGGGCCAGCGGCCGGACGCTGAAACAGAGCGTCAGTCGGCGGCTGGGGCTGCCGAGCCCCTGAATGCCAGCGGCCAGACACTGAGACAGGGTGTCAGTCGGCGCCCAGCGCCTCTCGCCAGTGTCCAACTACGGCTGCTGGCGGCAGCAACGGAGGATGACCACCAAATAAATCTCACACATGTCGGCGGGCAGCAACGTCAAGCAACGAATGTGTGCAGTGGAAGTTCAGCGTCTGACGTCTGCCCACAATGTCAACATTGGTCAGTCATCCAGACTCCTGTCCGCTCGTGTGGCGGCCCACTTACGTCTGACGGCTGTCAGGAGGAGGACGGCGCCGCCGCTGGCTGGACCACGCGTCACGTACCGCAGCGTGATCTGGTAGCTGGACGAGCTGATGGGGAACGCCAGGAGGTCCCGGCGCAGCTGCCACGTCTGCCGACCGCAGACAGTAGACGCGTCAGCCGCGGCAGGGCAGCCGGCTCAGAACTCAGCCAACACACGACCAGCGCGTCGGTCGCGGCAGACCAGCCGGCTCAGGACTCAGCCACGGCAGACCAGCCGGCTCAGAACTCAGTCAACACACGGCCAACACACGGCCAGTGTGTCAGCCAACACACACGCGCGCGCACGCACGCACGTACGAATCCACACCTACGCCCACGCCCCCCCCCCCTCACAAACGCACAAACACATGGCGCGCGCATCAGCCATGGAGCTCTACCAACACATGGACAGCGAGCCAACCCTCTTTCAAGGACATCACTGTTCCACCCCCAAGTGCACTTCCTAGAAAAATGGTCTTTATTTGAGATAATTCCCGGTAGAACAGACAGTCGACAGCAATGTGATTATTCACCACAGCCTCCAATATCGCCGAGCACTATGACTTTGCGTGGGCTTTTCTTCTGCAAGTGCACTGGAAGCATCGAATACTGAACTTACCGTCAAAAATGGAAACACCAGCAAAACACCGAGCTTCTAACGGCACACCAACCGTCGACAGATGAGCTGGAGGTCCACGACAGCTCCGTTGACACCCTGATTCCAGCCCACTCACCACAGCGCTGGGTCGGACCTCGTAGAAGTCGTAGATGTGAAGGTCCTCCGACGAGTCGTCGGCGCCCGGACTCAGCACCTGGATCCCGATGACGTTCTCCCGCGACGTCTGAGAAGACCATGGAAAGCACTGTCATCAGGCCGCAACAGAAGTCCCGTACTTCTCCGTCCACCGGAGAAGGCCATGGGAAGCACCGTCACCAGGTCACGACAGCACTGCCGTTCTTCTCGGTCTTCCGGAGAAGACCATGGAAAGCACTGTCACCAGGCGACAACAGCACTCCCGTACTTCCCGGTCCAACTCACCCAGCGCGAATATTCCACCCGATAAAGTTGGAAGCGAATCCCGCAGAAGGCACAGTTGGGGTAACCAATGGAAGCACAGTTGTCCAACAGACATTCCTGTCATTTTAGAACGTTGCATGCCACCTTGTACTCCCACCATCGAGCCGGTGGTCCCATGTCCCAGCCGTCCTCAGCGGACCGGTGTTTGGTCCGGCGGCCGTCCTCCTCTGGGCCGGCCCGCTCTCTCACCGTGACGTAGAAGACGCGCTCGGTGGCGTCCTGGCTGCCTTCGGTCACCAGGTAGGTGGGTTTGTAGAGGTCGAGCTCGAGCCGGGTGGCGGCCGACGGCAGGCTGACACGCCTCTCCCGCGCCAGGCCCACCCAGCCAAGCAGCTCGCGCCGCTCGTGACGGCTCAGCGCCGGGTCATAGTGCAGGCCCGACTCGCCGTTTTCCTCCACCAGACAGTCTGCGCGGCGGTGGCAGGCTACGCTCAGCCGGGGCCGCCAGCCGGAGCGGCACGGCACGCGGACAGCACCACGCCGACGGCAGCGCGTCATGGGTGGTGCGAGCGGGCGCCGCCCGACCGATGCGCGCGATCATAGTCAACCGTGTTGTCAACCATGTGTTGTGTTGTCAACAGATGAAGGTTAACCAAGTGTCAAAGCCCACCCCGCAAACAGAAACGTGAAATTCGGAAGGCTCTGGAACGGGACATCAAGAGCATCTATCCTATCACATATTTCCAAACGCACTACGCTAGCGAAACAAGGCTGCCCAACAGCGGAGAGATAAGCGAGAGCACACGGAGGTGGCCTGATCGGCACGAAGTTGGCTCGACTCGACTGACGTCACTCACCTGTCATCTCCATCCAGAGCGTTCTCATGGAGATGCCGTGGCCGCGGTTCATCTTAGCCTCGACGCGCTTCAGGTGGTTGACATAGTCGATCTTGAATACGTCGGAGAACATGACGCCCACGCCGTCCCCGTCATTGTTTGTCAGCACCACCGACTCCAGCACGTGGTGATTGAAGTCCATTCGCAGCGCTGTGGTAGGTGAGAGATCACGCTGAAGCGTTGGGGAGCGGCACACAGGTTAGAAGCACTGAATATATGCACCGGCAGTTCCAGTACGTCAGTGCCAAGGCTTACTCAAGTTCAAAGTGGTCCAAGAAGCTTGGAGTTTGCGAGGCATTTCGGCTTGCTTTCCATGGGGCAAAAGCCATGCATGTCGAAGCATTATCCACAAAAGATGATGTAAGTTTACGGTTGGGAGATCACTCATCACGGTTTTACTCTTCGCATTTTCACCCTGTGATTGGGCCCATGCATTCACTGAGTTGCTTAAAATCAATGTATAAGGCTATACCCCGACCTTGCTGTCTTCTTACCGAAGCAGCCATCATTACTGGGAAACAAAAATGGTACAGACAATATATACTTGATCACAAGCACCGGCTACCACCAGCAAGCTTTGCCCTGTGATAAGAGCCCAGCCACACCGCGCAGCTGCGTCCCGAGATAGCTCTGCTCTACAACACGGCAGAGTGACTAGCCGGCGCCAGAAGCTATTGTCCTCACTGAGAAATGACACGTCACGTGCCACCCTCCAAACGCTAGGTGCTAAGCAGTCGGAGGCTTCAGTTTGGATACGGCGCAAGCCCGAACAGTTCAAGAGTCCATTCCCGGGGCATACCACTACCGAGCGTGAGCCCGAGCCGCGGTTCATCACCCTTTCACCGGAGCCCCTAAGTGCTCGCATGTCCCTCCCCCTTCCCCGTCTCACTGGGAGACAGTGTCGCGGCTTCTGCCCTCTAGCGGCGCCAGCGCGTGCGAGTGACGTGGTCTGCTTCCCGCCAGGGCCGCCCGGCGCCCGGCCGTCTCCCCGCTCACCAGGCCCGAACGTGTACGTGGCGTGATCGATCAGCCCGGCGTGCTCCAGCCAGACGTTCTTCAGGATGTTCTTTTCGGCGGGCAGGCCGAACCGGACGCCGGCCCAGCTGACATCGGAGCAGCGCAGCGCCACGTCCGCCTCGTGCGGGCACGTGCGCTCCAGCTCGTCAGCCGACTCGTGCTGACACCGGGTCACGTCCGTGTCGGTCACCGAACACCGCACCGAGCTGCCGGTCAGAGGTCACCGTCACCAAGACCGCCGTAAAGGTGGATGGGCCTACTGTACAGTAAACACCTCGTGTGAGACAGGAGAGCTGCCGTCAACAACATCAACGCTTCAGTGGGGTGACCGTGTGTTGGTTGGTGGGCGGCAGCCGGTGGCGCACCTCATGAGGACGCGCGAGTCGAGGCCCTCCAGCGGCACCTGAGCCCGCTCCAGCCGCCAGTCCAGCGGGTTCAGCACCCAGCCCAGCTGGCGGCATACCAGCGCCGCATTCAGCACGCTCCAGCCGTGGTCGCACACCGTGCCCCACTCGTTGTTCAGCAGCACCTGCCGGCAGCGGATGTGGCGTCAGAGCGAGGAACCGACGGTAGGACACGGCAGCCCGCGAGCTCTTCAGCACACCCTTCACCGATTAGGTGGCGTCAGAACAGGGCACCGACGGTCGGACTCGACGGCCCGCCAGGTCTTCAGCACACCCCACACCGGTCAGGTGGCGTCAGAACAGGGCACCGACGGCTGGACCCGGCGGCCCGCCAGCTCTTCAGCACACCCCACACCGATCAGGTGGAGTCAGAGCGAGGAACAGACGGTCGGACCCGGCGGCCCGCCAGCTCTTCAGCACACCCTACACCGATCAGGTGGCGTCAGAACAGGGCACCGACGGCTGGACCCGGCGGCCCGCCAGCTCTTCAGCACACCCCACACCGATCAGGTGGCGTCAGAACAGGGCACCGACGGTCGGACCCGGCGGCCCTCCGACTCCTCAGCACACACCACACCGGTCAGGTGGCGTCAGAACAGGGCACCGACGGTCGGACCCGGCGGCCCGCCAGCTCTTGAGCACACCCCACACCGATCAGGTGGCGTCAGAACAGGGCACCGACGGCCGGACCCGGCGGCCCTCCGACTCTTCAGCACACACCACACCGGTCAGGTGGCGTCAGCGCGCTCAAAGTCACAGCAATGTAAGCAACCATGAAAGCAGGCACGTCTATGAGACCATAATCGCTGACATGATGCGAAAAATGGGCAATAGCCCTGGAAAGACGGCTAAACGTTCCCTTCTGAGCAGTATCACAGTCAGTCTGACCAGGGTGCAGAAGTGCGCCAAAATCAATCTGACCAAGGTGCTGTAGTGCGCCAAATCCCGTGTGACTAACCTGCAGGCGGCCCTCGCGCTCAGTGCGGCCGCCCACCAGCCGGACGGGCGCCAGGCTGACGTTGTCCCGCTGGTCACGCTCCTGCAGACTGAGCGTGACACGCTTCTCCTCGCTCATGGAGGATCCCTCGGCGTGCAGGTGGCCGGCCACCATCATACCTGAAATCAGCGCACGCCGCTCAGCACAGTTGGACGAGACACTCCCCTTCGAAACGAAACCCCCAAGCTGCGACGTGCCCAACCACAAACTAGATGGGAAGGCAGTGGCGGACACGTATCGAATGGTGGGATGTTGAAAATACGCCTAGGGCTGGACAGAGGTTCCCGAAGGCGGGCCCGGAGAGAGACAAAAAGTGATGTGCTTTCTTCTTACGAAGGGCCTGCCCTAGCCCGTTACCGCTCCATCATGGGTCTGGGAACTTTAGGAAGGAACTTTATCCCCTTGCCTTGCGTGCGCCCTGCCCTGATGCCAACGATCATCCTGTCGTCTCCGCCGTTGAACCTCCCATTTTCCCCAGGCCTTGGTGCACGCCCTGTCCCCGCCCCTAGCCCAGCATGGTCTGGGCCGCCGCTCCGACGAGCACTCACCGACGCTGTGCTCAAACTCGAGGCGCACGCCGAAGGCCACGGTCAGGCGCGCGCCCGGCCTGACGTAGATGTCACGGGTGACCGAGAACGTGCCGTCGGGCAGGATGACCTGGCCGGCGATCTCGCCGCCGATCTCACCCAGCTCGTTCGGCCCGAAGCTCGGCACGAACTGCTCGTTGAGCGAGAGCAGGATCGAGTTGGGGTCGTTCTCGCTCAGCAGGAACGGCTCGAAGTCGGCCTTGGCCAGGTTGTAGCGGTCCTTGCGGTCGAACACGCGGTCGTACACCTGGTTGGAGCGCTTGAAGCCGAGCCAGTTGTGCGAGAAGTTGGCGTTGGCGCTCTGGTCCTCGAAGTGGACACCCAGTTCGTAGCGCGAGGCGGGGTTCTCCAGGATGTTGCGGTAGACGACGGCCGACGCCGAGGAGACGGTGACCACGGCCGCCACGCGGTTACGCGGGTTCAGGCTGGGAAACGGCTCCGACACGTTGTTCTTCTGCAGGAAGTTCTTGGTGAAGAGGATCTGCTGGGCGGAGTCGTGCGCGTACTGAGAGGCGCCGATGTTCACCACGTACATGCCGGCGTTGCGCTCGAAAAAGTTGTGCGTGATGTTGAGTTGGAGCGGCAGCTTCTCGACGGCCGGCGTGTCGCCGCTGTACAGCCTCAGCGTCGCCACCAGCTGGTCCGCGAAGTAGTTGTACTCGATGTTGCCGAACACGTTCGACACGGGAGCCATGTTGACCGCCAGTCTCTCGTTGTTGAGGAAGCGGTTGTGGCCGATCTGAAGCGTCAGCGCACCCCGCGTGGGGCGCTGGCACGTCCACAGGTCCACGGCGTCCTGGCGCGCGCGCCGGAACACGTTACCGCTGATGTTGACGAACGAGTCGCGGCAAAAGTTGCCGACGAACGCACCCTGCAGCCAGTTCTCGGAGAAGTTAGAATAGGCCAACACAAGCTGCTGGCTGAAGGCCACCACCTCGCGGGTCTCGTTGTACCACAGTGACAGGCCGCGGCCTCTGTTGTCCGCTATCTCGCACCAAGAGATGTTCTGTGCACCACCGGCGTAGGTGATGTTGATGCCGTCGCCGTTGTTGCCGGTGATCTGCGACCACGTGATGTTGACGTCTCCGCCACCGCCCCGCACGTGCACGCCGGCCACGTGGGAGTTGTTGACCACGACGGAGCGGTGCACGTGCACGAGCGAGCGCAGGTTCTCCACGGCGATGCCGCGTCCATTGTTGTCAGAGATTTCCGAGCTAGAGACGTTCAGGTCGTGCGTTTTCCCTGAAATCGCATTGCAGCATGAAAATGCGCGACGCTGAATCACCTTGCCGCAGCAGGAATGGCACAGTCACCACCAAAAGAACCAAAACCAAAAAGACACCGAAAAGAGAACCGTATTGAAAAACTGGAGCAAATACAGTACGGCGTGTCTTCGCGGTGTTATAATTATCTGTATTCACGGCCTCAACAATTCCGCGTGCAGTTTGTGGGCGCTGAACAGCCGGGACGCGGCGGCTGGGGACAGACGACTCACCGAGCCCGGCCGTGACGGCCATGAACACCTCCGTCTGCGTCCGGTTGCGGGCGGAGAAGGTGACCAGCAGGTGGTTGCGGGTGGTCACCAGACTCTGCGGCCGACTGCCGTTGCGTACCTGCCGACAGCGCACTCAGTCAGCCGGCTGGTGCAGTGATGCAGAGGATGTCTCGCATTCAGCTGAGTGTGATGTCCTGATGTCCTGTCCTGTCCTGTGTAATCGCCAAGTCGGGTCGCACGCAATCCTTTCATATGTTTTTTTACTTCTGTTTTGAATTGTCAGAAGTAATCAAATCACAACAAGTGTTGTCCCGATGACAAAATATATTTGAGAAACGTACAATGACAGACATATAGTGGCTTCAGAGGTATGCGCTCCAGAAATTGCTGCAAGCCGTAGAGGCCTCAGACGAGCACGTAAAACACCCATAAATCTGGCCAAATGCGCTCAGTCATTGCACGCAACTGGAAACATTCTGTAACTAAGGTCATCTCCGACCAAGAAGTTCATGACAGTCTGGCATTCTGACAGCTGACATCCGACCACTGACGCCATTATAGCGAGCGACGCGCAGCGAACCTAGCGGCGCACCTTGAAACTACCGAGCAGTGGAGACGCCTCCGACTTCCCGTCGTAAAAACCGATCTCGGCATCGTCGTTGGCTTCGTTCATCAGATACAGGAAGTTGACGGTGAGCACCAGCCCGATCCGGGAGCTGAAACGCTGGAATGGCCCCGGCGAGCTTCAGCCGGGCGGCGGGCACACGTGTCGGCTGCAGGACCCAGCCCACGCACGGCCGGGGTCCCGCGCGGCACGCAGGGCGATCTCGAGCACTTCTCTGGTTTAATCATTAAAGCGTTTAGAATACAAAACTTCCTACACAAGACCGAGCGCTCCATCGGTTGTTCAAACGGCCCATGCAGGAGTCGAGGCTGAAGCGAAGCAGCCTTTAATAGCCCGATGACCACAGAAATAATTTCTGATATCAACACCCGAGATGGGTGGGGAGAAGCTGACCGTAGCAATGCGTCGTCAGTCTCACGCGCCGCCTGGCTATTTATCCCCGGAAGAGCACTGGCTGGCAGTGGCGTGTTGGCCGTCAGGCCCGCAGGACGCCGTGCTCACCATCACGCGGAGGTCACCTCACCTTCTGGCAGCGGCGTGTTGGCCGTCAGGCCCGCAGGACGCCGTGCTCGCCATCATACGGAAGCAGCCTCACCTTCTAACAGCGGCACTTTGGCCGCCAGGCCCGCAGGACACCGTGCTCACCATCACGCGGAGGCCGCCTCACCTTCTGACAGCGGCGTGTTGGCCGTCAGGCTCGCAGGACACCGTGCTCACCATCACGCGGAGGCCGCCTCACCTTCTGACAGCGGCGTGTTGGCCGTCAGGCTCGCAGGACGCCGTGCTCACCATCACGCGGAGGCCGCCTCACCTTCTGGCACCGGATCGGCCGGTGGCTGGTCTTGAACTGCTGCGCCACGGTGTAGAGTGGGAAGATCTGGCGGGCGATGGTGCCCGAGCTGCAGAAGTCGGCCACGGCCGTGCCGTCCACCTCGCGGCGCGGCGTCTGCGTGTCGTGCTGCACCAGGCGCAGGCCGTCGGCGCCGCTCCCCAGCACCCGGCAGTCGTGCACGTGCACGAGGCCCGTGGATGTGTTGACGTAGATACCGGTGCCTGCAACAGCACGCCCGCCTCGTCATCTACCGCCACGCTAAAAAGAAATGTCCAATAGCTCTTCGGAGAGCTCTTGCAAACGCGAGTCCAGATTGCGGTGCTTGCTGGAGCGCGCCAGGCGGCCGGGGTTGATGCACCCCGAAAACTGCTCCCAGCATTTATCCAAAAAACGTCACAACGGTCAAGTTAGCTCGCTTTCCGCACTTTTGGTTACCGTTTGTTGATAACCTTTAGGTGGCAAAATAAGGAGGGGCTACCCGTAAGGAGAGGTTTTAGCATGTGTTGTTACCGTGAATCACGGTTAAAATCCTTTGGTACGTTATCAACGTTTTTATCAAAGCTTGTGGAAGATCATACTACATTTTAGTTTGATATTTATAATCATCCCAGCCCATATCGTATCATCTGATAACAGGCAGATAAAAGAACTCTGCAGTCAGACGTGGCATATATGTGTTTCATGGACCTTGACACGCCGAGGTCTTTGTGGAAAATGCACTAGTTCGGGGGAAGACCGCTTGAAAATGGGAGCGTTTTGCTATACCCTAACGAACAATTGGGTGGACATAATCATGAACTCTGCAAGAGTAAGCACATGAAACGCTGAAACACAACTGAGTACCAGGGCAGTGCAAAATTAAACAAACAGCATACACGAATAATACAACACGCCAACAGTAATTAAAACTAAAGCCTTAGCACGTCACTCAGGGGGCCCAATGATGTGTATATGGCAACCGCACAGGTACACGCAGTCTGGAGGCAGCCGCCGCACGCACCAGCGTTGTGTTCGACGGTGCAGTTGTTGATGTTGACCAAGGAGTCTGGCGCCGTGATGTTGATGCCGCCGCCGGCCGAGTGGCGGACCGTGACGCCGTACATCTGCGGTGGCACGCCCTCGCTCTCGATCGCCGCATGCACCTGACGGCGGCAGAGAGCGGGTCACAGCCGGCGTCACAACCGCGAGCAGACGACGCCCAGAGCCGGCCACAGGCTAACTGCGGCCAGAAGACGGTCAGAGACGACCAGCGACTTCCCGAACCAGTGAACACAGCACAGCATCGGCGGGTCTTAGGAGCCCGTCGGACGCCAGGCCGTCGCCGTCGCCGCCGTCTCACCTGTCTGTCGAGCCCCATGCCCGCGTGTAGCACTTCCAGGTGGTAGAGCTTCGACTGGGAGAACTTCTCGTACAGCGTGTCGCCGGCGGTGAGCATCTTGTCGTGGGCGGCGTGCTCGAACCGGACGCCGCGCCACTGCGAGGCCGGCCGGCTGGCATCGAACACCGGCAGACAGCGCAGCGCCAGGTCGGCGTGCTCATCTGCGCGGGTCACACTCGAGGTCAGCTCTGCCACACATCTGACCAACGTCAGCCATCAGCCGGCGGCCGCTCCGGCCCGCGCAGACCGCCGTTCCAGGCCCAGGGCAGACCGGCCGCTCCAGCCCGGCGCAGACCGGCCGCTCCGGCCCCGGGCAGACCGGACCGCCCGGCCCGGCGCAGACCGGCCGCTCCGCCCGGTACGACCGGCCCCCTCCGCTCGCACAGGCCGGCCCGCTCCGGCCCGGCGCAGACCGCCGCTCCGGCCCGGCGCAGACCGGCCGCTCCGGCCCGGCGCAGACCGGCCGCTCCGGCCTGGCGCAGACCGACCGCTCCCGGCCCGGCGCAGACCGGCCGCTTCGGCCTGGCGCAGACCGGCCGCTCCGGCCCGGCGCCAGACCGGCCGCTCAGCCCGGCGCAGACCGGCCGCTCCAGACCCAGGGCAGACCAGTTGCTCCGGCCCGGCTCAGACCGACCGCTCCGGCCCGGCGCAGACCGGCCGCTCCAGACCCAGGGCAGACCGGCCGCTCCAGGCCGACTCAGGCCGGCCGCTCCAGGCCGACGCAGACCGGCCGCTCTGGCCCGGCACAGACCTGCCCCTCCGGCTCAGCACAGGCCGGCCGCTCCGGCCAGGCGCAGACCGGCCGCTGCAGCGCGGCGCAAACCGGCCGCTCCGGACCTCTACTTCGGCCAGTTTTCACGAACAACGAACAATCGTCTCTGTGTTGGTCTGAGCTCTGGGGGCCCGTTTCCCAAGCAGGGACAAGGCCGGAACTGCGACTTACGTTGGCCGGGCCCCTGTATCGTTCAGGGGCCCACAGCGCCTAACAAGGTATTCTGTGTCAACAAGTGGCCTCGAATTGGCCAGGGGAAGATTTGCACAACAGGGACGGGACGGGAATACAAATGACAGAGGGTCTCTTGCGTTGGTCGAGGCCCTCAGACAATTGAAGGAAACGTTAGAACTTATGAGGAACGCTCACATGGAAGCTATAGAAGAGCGCTGTGCCAGTCAGGGCCCTCAGTACCTAACGGTGGGCCCTCGATCCGCTTTCCAACATGGGACCGTTAAGCACATCTGGAGTATATGTGCCAATTATTTGACCACCTGCGGCGATCAGGGATGTTGTTGCAATCATGACGGTTCATGCGTCGATACGGGGTCAACTGCGCGGGTCAGAAAGCTTCCCTCGTCAGGGAGCAGACCAATGTGGTAAATGCATCCCTCTAAGGGCCTCCGGACAAGTTAGATGATGCCGCCCCGTGTCGCCAGAATGACGGCCGGAAGACACAGCGCAATGGGACAGAATGGCCCCTCAGCCCTTGACCGGGAACAGTAACGTGCCATGTAAAATAGAATAGTGAAACAAATAACATCAGAAGGTTTCAGCCTGCGCGCCGGGTAACAATAGTGTAGAGGTTAACGCGCCTACGTTAACTTCTGCGAGTCTGGGAAACCACAAGCACGGGGTTCGATTCCCTGCGGTGTCCGCCCTTCCCGCCAGGGTGGGAGGCTGGCGACGCCATACAGCCCCAGCAGTAGTCATAAAGCCCCAATGGCACGCCCGTAACCTTGGGGAGCAAGGATAGTGATGACTTGGGTGGCAGTTTTCGTAAAACTGAACAGCAATGGCTACTGCATGTAACGCCAGGCGGCGGGCGCCGTGGGCACAACCATCGTAAAATAATGTTTCTAGGTATCTCAAAATTAAGTCGTTAAGTTCAAAAATTACACTGGGCGAACCTTTTTTACGACTTCGAGTTTTTTTCTCTGGACAGCTTAACAGTTAAAGCAACACGAAACATAGAGATTTTACCTTTTCTCCCCCAGCTACATCACCAGATCTCAGGACCACTTCGCGGTGCTATAAAGACCAACGCGTTTTTGTCATCAATCTAAAAACCACACGTGTTAAATTACGCCCGGAATATCTTTAGATGTGCGATTCGTGGCCAGAAGCGTTCAAAAGTACTTCTTTCAAATGTGTCATCATTTTCGTCGACCCGTTGGCCACGGTCTGGCGTTGGCCGAGAAGCCGACGCTGCGCGGCTAAAGGAGACCACGGAATCCTTGATATCTCTGTACAACTAAGATACAAATTTTGATTAAGTTTTTGAGTTTTATCGGTTTAAAAAGAGTCCAATATACCAGTGTAAAATGAAGGGTGCCGGCGATTTATTTCATGCAGTCACTTGACGCATGCTTTTTTAAGAAAAACATGCCACCATTACCAAATAAGCCATATCCAGCGATTTTTTAGGGGCCCTTTTACCATCAGCGGGCCCTTTGTCAACCCTGCTTCCCCCCTCCCTGCCAAAGCTCTGGCTGCGCCCTACAGGCAACCTCATGCGCATGCCCAACAACAAAGCATGCGTTCACAGCTGCCCGGACGGCAAGACGACGACGTCATTCATGACGTCATACCCCATAGATCCTGCCTTTGTTGGGGTTCCGTGATGCTACGTGGAATCTTAGTCGAACAAACGCCCGCGCCGTGTGACAATTATAATGTGATGCTGGCTAAATCTTTGTATCGAATTAGTTGGCTGCCCACCACTCGAGCGGCCGAACGCAAGAGTTAGAGACCCGGCTCCTTAGCTACGAACTACATCAGCCGTCTGCAGGCGACCCCAGCCGTCTGTAGGCGAACTCAGCAGTGCGCAGCCGACCCCAGACGTACAGCCGACTCCAGACGTCACAGCCGACCCAGCCGTGCACAGCGACCCCAGCCGTGCGCAGCGACCCCAGCCGTCTGTAGGCGAACTCAGCCGTACACAGCCGACCCCAAGCCGTGTGCAGACGACCCCAGCCATGCACAACCGACCCCAGCCGTGCACAGCCGGCCCCACCGTGCACAGCCGGCCCCTGCCGTGCGCACAGCCGACCCCAGCCGTGTGCAGCCGACCACAGCCGTGTGCACGGCGCAGCCGACCCCAGCCGTGCACAGCCGACCCCAGCCGGTGCAGCCGACCCCAGCCGTGTGCAGCCGACCCCAGCCGTGCACAGCCGACCCCAGCCGTGTGCAGCCGACCCCAGCGGTGTGCAGCCGACCCCAGCCGTGCGCAGTCGACCCCAGCCGTGTACAGGTGGTGTCCGTGACGTACCGCAGATGCCGGCGCCCATGGCGCGGCTGCTCCAGCGGCAGTCCTGGACGCGCGCCTCCGAGCCGTCGCAGCCGGGCCGCTCGTACAGCAGTCGTCGCGTGCCGTTGAGCCAGGGGTACCAGTCGGCGTAGTGTCCGCCGGTGAGACCCAGCTGGCGGCACGCTACTCTGGAGTCGGCGGCCGTCCAGCTGGCGGCCGAGGTCGCACGGTTAACAGTCCAGCTGGAGGCCGGGGTCGCACGGTTATCCGCGGCCGCCCAGCTGGCGGCCGAGATCGCACGGTTAACACCGCCACACACCATAGGTCTGGTTTGGCTCGATCGAGATCGGCGTCAGTTGGGTCAGCAATAGCCAGTTCAGGGGCATCGAATGAAGAAGAGTCGGGAACGGTGAGGCAACTGCAGGCACCCGGGGGTGCTCCGCTATCGAGAACCACTGGGAGAACCCAGTGGGTCTGCACGGGCGCTCGGGCGGGGCTTCCGCCAGGGAGACACTCAGGCCCGCACATGGCTGATGCATGCTACTTGCCCTAGGTAAACGGGGGCGGGTGGAGGTGAAGGATAAGACGATGAGTAATGAGAGCGGGGTTGATGACACGGCAGGGTCAGCAGGTAGGCCGAGTCTGCAGGCGGGCTGGGTCTGCAGACAACTACTGGGCTCAGGGTCAGCCGAGGTCTCCAGTGGGAACACGAAATGAGCAGGGCATTTAGCCGGGCTAGGGTCAGCGCAGTGCGCATTGGAGGGTGGAGTCGGCAGGGTCTACAAACGGGCTGCAAACAACAAGCGGACACGGACTTACTACGCATCACACGGCATTAAAATCCGTACCCACAACTGAGCATTCGTGAAAACGGCGTTTGTTACATCACTCATGCATAAAAGATGACTGGATAAAAGACTTTGACGCGGGTTTTCATCACACACAATGTACAAAACAATTCAACCAGCGAAAGCGGAATATGCCATTTGCATAGAATTGAGCAGGTCCGGTAGCATACATTGATCAGCATTACATATTCAGTTACACAGATCATGTTCGTCACTTCCATAAAGCAAACCACCGGTCCTAACATGAGTGTAACCACCTGGAAGATTTATCCCCTAATCTTAATAAAAGGAATTTTGCCTGGTCCAATTTTGCCCGTACAAGGCATCTTTCCTATGTTTCCCCATTTAACAAGTCACTTTAGGGTCGAGCTGTCTCACCCCAGACCCGTGCCATCCATTCAACCCTGATTCCCCCCTCCCCCATCTCAGATATGCGGTTATGCCCCCGTGTCCCAATGGTAAAGAGCCGATGGGAATCGCCCACTAAGCATAGAACAGCGGAAGGAATATGAGTTGCAAAACTTACCACGTCGCGCGTGCAACATAGAAAGAAAATACGAAAAGTTACGGGACAAACACAGATATGTAACTGTGGCGAGCAGGGGCCGGTATCGCACGAGAAAGCAGAGCATCTAATGGCGCACGTGGCGACTTGTTACGAGCCAGACCGCAGGCTGAGCTGAACTTAACGTGAAATCACAAAAAAATGGGTAATTCTGAAGTTCCGACCAGGTCCAGCCTCTCACGTCTTTGACCGCCTTCTTTGCGGCCATGAAACGTAGTGTCATGCTGTGTTAGTTGCAAGTCCAGGTATTTACATGAAAAACAGTTTTTCTCACACGCCTTCCCACAACTCTACGAAATTACGACAGCTTGACATTTCCATGTGATTTACAAAGACAATGTTAAAACTAGAGATTGCAACAAACGGAGGAACACAAGTCGAAGCCGCCAACCGATCTCGGCGACGCTGGCTCGCAGCGCCACGAGGCCGATACCATCTGGCGAAGAAGGAAACAGACGAGCGCGCTAGTAAAAGTGTGGGTCGACGCGCGCAGCCGGTCCCGCGTGCTCGAGCGCAAAACATGGGTCCACCGGTCCGGTGGCATTATCAAGGATTGGTGTCAGATGTTTGCAAACAGAGGTGAGTAAAGACGTAAAACAATGAGCTCGGTACACAGACCTATCGCAAGGGAACGCGCTGTCTAGAAATCACTCACCGAGCTGAACAAATACCACTGCCGGACCCATTTGAACCCAGTAATCAACCCAGAAACCATCAATATCGTTTTTGAAACCCAGGGTAGAATATCGCGCCCTGGAGTCTTAGCCGAGAAAGACTGGGTTATATAAGTCACAGATCAGACACACAGTCGTGTTTCCAAGTTTAATGAGATAAATATCCAGGCCCCTCTAAGTTTTTTTTTCTAGCACTACACTGGACCGTCACGAAAACGTGAATAATTTCCAAATTTTCTATTTGGTCCACTGAAACAGTCAGGCCTGATCAATATGATGGACGAGCAATTTTTCAACAAAGCTATTCGTGCTATAGCTGCAGCGGGTCCTTGCCGAAGGGCCGGTGAGCAGCGGCGTTTTAGCTTTGGGGAAATGGTTTGCTGTACGCTGCGCCTCAATTGCGATCGTTTTCTGTTGTTAACTTGTGACAAATGCATCAGTATCAAAATTCCATTAATCATCATTTGTTGTAATTTCCCGGTAACTAGTTTTCAGCTGATGTCATCATTCGTCTTTGTGCCATAGCGTGATGTCCCTGCTTTTATGTTAACGTCATTATGCCCTTATTTGTAGCTGATAAATATATCTTTTCGGGACTTTGCCGCATGTCCTTCCGGGTTTTGAGATCGCGCGGACTACAGTCAGTGATGCCGTACATAATACGTGGAACATGTGACTGTGGATAATACGTGGAATGCATTGGCTCAAAATGTAAACAAGCATTATCAGCCTCAGCAGATTATCCCACACTTAGAACTGAAGAAATTAATTTGCTCAACTTGCGACAAACGGGCCATCCAAATAATCCATAAAAGCTATTTGCCTCAGTTTCCAAGGTCGGATGGCTGCAACCGCTCTGATTTTGGTATAATCCTCGTGACGATTATCACGTTCATCATTAACTCACCTGTCCCATGAATCAAAATGCTCCAGGGATGTTATTGGTAAAATACATCGGAGCGACGGGTAACGAGGCCATGCTGGGGGAGGGAGGGGGGGGGGGGGGGCAGTGCCGGTGGTGCTGGGTTGTTTTTATGTTTGTATTGCCTTGGTGCTGGGTAGTGCCAGTGGAGCCCGCCTTTTCGATCAGATTTATCGTGAATGTTTGCCTGATGAGCGTGCTCCTCATGGCAGTAATCTGGTGCGCTACACTGCTCAACAAACATTCGGAACGTTTAGTCACGGCATACTTCGCGTCAAAAAGCGCTGCCCAGTAAGGCGTGCCAACAAGCGCACGCCAACACGCAGCGAGTGCTGCACTGTTGCTCGCGGGTCTGACGCCAGAGTCTCAGCTGAGGCGACGCCTGTCGTCCCGGCCGGCAGCGGTCGGCGCCGGCTCTGGACGGACTACCGAGCACCGCTGACGCAGACTGCGCCCAGAGACACGGCCGGCCGCGCGCGTCATGCTTCACATGCGTGCCGAGTGGTGCGGCGGCGGCGGCGGGGAGGCGGCGGAGCGGCGTGACCGGGCTGCTCCGGGGCTGTTAGACAGCCTTGGACTGCTCTTCGGGTCACCGCTCTGCTGCTGATGGTGGTGCGGAATACGCCGTCGGAAGTGAGGCCGACTGGAACCGGACCAGGTCGGTAACGGCGGCCCAGGGTACGGGGAGGTGCCGCTCCGATACCGGCTACATCGAGCTGAAGTTAGGGGACGTGGCCGTGTAGTGTGCTACAGGCTGATGGCCAAGCAAGCTGTCTGGTGGCGGTAAAGGGCACGGCGATAGCTCAGTAGTGTCGACTCGTGGCTTCATGACGTCAGCGGCTCGTCGTCGTATCGCATCCGCTCGTGTCCCTGTGGCGCACGCGCACGTATGTGTCCTGTACTTGCAGCGGACCTGCGCCGCCGGCTTGTGGCAGCGAACTGTCGGCCGACGGCTGCGACCTGTCGGCTTGTGGCCGCAAACTCTCGGCTGACGTCCGTGCAGTGTCTGCTTGTGGCCGCGAGCTATCGGCTGACGTCCGTGCAGTGTCTGCTTGTGGCCGCGAGTTATCGGCTGACGTCCGTGCAGTGTCTGCTTGTGGCCGCGAGCTGTCGGCGGACGTCCGTGCAGTGTCTGCTTGTGGCCGCGAGCTGTCGGCTGACGTCCGTGCAGTTGTCTGCTTGTGGCCGCGAGTTATCGGCTGACGTCCGTGCAGTGCGGGCTTGTGGCCTGGTCGTGGGCCAGCTGCGTCACGGCGGCTGCTGGGCGCTGGCAGCGTGGTAACAGATCGTCATCGCGATAATGACCGGCGGCCGATCCAGCCGCCTCAGCCGGCGCCGCACAGCACGGCCGCAGCCGGGCGGCCGTGTCGTCGCGACGCGCCAGCTACCGCAGCCGCGAGCCAGGAAGCCGTCTGCTGCCCTCGGACAGGGCACTGACATCAAACACGGGCGCCACCAGCGCTGAGCCTTCTATAGACGGCCCTCCGAACCATTTGTTTTCCGCTGGTCATATGAGAGCTGCGCATCTTTTTGGAGGGTTCTTCACGGTTTTGCCGATAACGACAAAACGGTCGCAGCAACGCATTTACAAATCGCGCTGGTTATTTCCCCCTCCATTCGTCCTATTTCTGAAGAAGAAATGTCAGAGGTGATTGTTATTGTTTCTTGTACTGAGAAATTGGTAACTGAAAAATTTCATGAAGACATGCAGCAGGGTTTTTGAAATCCAGAGGTGTTATATGTGTCCAAATAGGTATGCATCCAGGTAGACTAGGAAAGTTTGTTAGAGCTGAGAATTCACAACATTTTATGCTGAATGCCTGGCATATCAAGGTTTTGGTTTTAATTTTGACTTAGAATTGACACATTTTTAAGCAAATTTAAGGCCATCAAACATTTGCATTTCAGTCCTGAAATAGCACTGATATGCCGGTATAGCAAATTGAACTGCAACCTGGTTCGACGAAGAACCAGTCTATACCTATGTCTTTCTTTTAGTTTAAGCACGGTAATATTGACCTAAAAAGTATTTGGAATACCCATTTTCACATAAATGTGAAATTTATATACCCAAATTTATAGCTGTGATGATGTGCTACGCACTTCCGAATATGGGATAAGAAGTTGACCCACACTTGGGCGGATTTTTCTCCGAACAATTGAGGTAGTGTTATCTCTTACATCAGAATATAAGAACCAA